TACGTAAATGTGGAGAATGTCAAAGATCACTTTGATCATTTCATTCAAATTTATAGAGCAAGTGACACTGAAAATATTTACACGATGGCATTAAGATTGCTAATTAAAAGTTACTCAGCAAATCTTTTGAAAGTTAAAATACAGCTCTAATTCAGAACATTCAAATTTAAAGGTAATATTAATAAATTTGACATTTGTGAAATTCATAACAATTATTCAACCTGAATGACAATATTGTGAATTTCTTTTGAAGCAATTAGACATGAATCAAAGACTGAACTATTTTAAGATGAAGCATTGTTATTAATACCCAATAAATAAAACAAAAACGCACATAATTAGATGCAAATGACACAGGGCCGTTCCTAGGCCATTGGCTGCCTGCGTACTTTCCTAAGATTGCCGCCCCGAAAATTTTTAAAAAAATCTTCAATCATTAATAACATTTTTATTTCATATTCACAAAGTACTTACATATGACAAATTGTATAAAAAGTACTTACATATGACAAGTACTAACAATGAATTTAAAATATTTAGTCGTGATATCGCGAGAGTGCAGCAGCCCCTGACTTTCGTCACCCATGTACTTTTAAGCTTCGCACGCCCGCTAGAATTGGCCCTGAATTGACGATATCAAACTTGGTCAAAAGTAATTTATTCTTATAACAAAAATTTTGAGGTGCACTGCTTTTCATTTTTATATCTACAATATTACTATCAGATATTACTAATGAAAGAAAGAAAATTAATTAAGAAATGGAATATGTTTATATTACTTGATAAATTAAATAGATAAATAAATAGTACAATAATAATAAATATAGTACTTTTAGATGTAGCATAAATAAGTGTCTTTTTTTTTTATTTATTTCTGATCCAACTTAATAATACTTAACTCACCCAATCAGTTCACAGGAAACATTTTTAATCATATATTTTAAATTCCGCAAAAACCTCTAAAGAAATTAATTTAAAATATTTAATGGAATTATAATCTTATAATAGACGTCTGTATTCATAAATGTGATTATAAGAAGTATGAAACTAAAATTAAACATCAATATAGGGTTCCATAGAAATATTTATTGCTTATTTTGTAATATCTAGGCTATCTTGCTGAACAGTCGTAGAAATTGTAATCATTAATTTCTACTTCATACAAAGATTTCAGTCATGGAAGAAGTGAGGGACAGGGGGTAACGTTTTTACTCAAGTTGAAGGCCATATTGTTCAATACTGCCTCAAATAACCTGCGAGGAAAGTTAGGAGGATCTAAGCTTTGAATACACTTCAGTTTTACAACTCTCTCATCTTGAATGCTTAACAGACGAAAAACAGATGGGGGAAGGCAAAACCATTTTGAGACACCCTCAGACTTGTAGGCAAGCCTATTTTGAGGACAAAAGTTAAAACTTTTGTGAGACATTTTTTTTTTTTTCGCCATCAAAGTGAAAACCGGAAATGGGTTGATAAGGAATTCCACTGATATTCAATACAGATTATTTTTAACTTCCATGTGCCAGGTTTGGTGAAGCATAAGTTATTTAATTTTTCTTTTAATCAACCAGTTATTGATTAAAACAAACTAAGTGATGTTAAAGCAATAAATGCAGTTCTTTATCTCTTTTATTAATTAGCAGTTGGACCTGTAAAACTACAGTAGTTGGATTTATGAAAAACGTTACATATTTTTTTCTTTTTTCATACTAACTTTTTTAAGTTACCGATTGCACTAATGGCTACTTGTTTGAGAAAAGAAACAGGCAACAAATGTGATTCAGTGCAAAAGTGAGGTTTTAAAATAATACTTCTTCTGGGCTATATAACTATTTGGCAGCATTTAACACTTTATTGGGAATTCTAAAAATCTTCAGTTTTGAAAAATTTTGTGATTTTGTTGTTGAATTCTATATGGCAAATAAAGTGACGTTTAATAATAAAGTTTAAAAGACAAAAAAAAAAAAAAAAAGGTGTCAGCAGAAGCGAGTCCAAGAGCAGAAGCGAGTCCAAGAGCAGAAAGATAAACTGTAAATTTGAGAGGAGCTTAAAAATACCTTAATAAACCCTCTGGTGGGATATTTAAAATTTAAATCCTTTCAGATTTTTTTTCATTTACTTATTTATCTAAATTCATTCCATTGTCCTCATAGGTCAAATGACCTACGTGCAGTGGCGGCTCGTAATAAGCACTGTGGAACTGCAGCACCCCCTATTTTCACTTATTATTATTTTTTAATATTTAATACAGTGTGCCCTAGTCTTTAATTCTTTCTTTATACTTTTACAATACATAATCTTTAAGCTTAATGTCAGTTGCCATCCCCCACTTTGTGAAAAAGGTACGAAATTCTTTGTTTGGAACTGCGCGCTTCACAGTTCCAGCGACGTGGTGTTTGGCTGTTCTGCGCATGCGCGCACAGAAAACAGCACGCGAGCCGGGTAGTGAAAAGAGTACTGTTGCTTTTGCAGTGCCGAAATTCTGATATGTTGTTGAAAACGTGATTTCGTGTCGTATTCCTCCACAAGGTGGCACTTCATCATACGGACCATAACAGAGTTCATGAAAATTTGCAACCTTTAAAAAATTCCCTTACTGAAATTCAATCAACACCAAATGCAGATCAAACTATTGCAAAAGCAACAGGAATTTAAAAAAAAACTATATGATGATAATTTAAAGTTTTGGTTAGAGCTTTTTTATCAGATGCCTCATGTTGAAATAATATGCAACTAAATGCAATCCAGAGAAATTAGTGTGTTGTTTAAAAGTTAACGAATATGTAACAAATTTCAAAACTGCTATTTTAGAATTAAGAAACTCAAAGTACTGTAAGAATTTTTCAAAGACATTGATGGCAGAAGCTACGGAAATATGTGACTTTATACTACGTATTGATATAATGCACAGATATTCTTCCACTAAACACTTAGCAGCTGCTAAATTGTTAAAACAAGAAATGCTTCGCTAGTTTTAGGAATGAACATTCTACAGAAGAAATAGTACTGACCACTGAAGCATATTTAATGATTGGCAAAGAAAACTTGAAACTGAACTAAAAGTATTCTATTGTAGGTCTGATATCCATGAATACTGCAAATTAATTGAGCTACTGAAATTTATCTTTGAAAATAAGAATGAAAACTTTTCTAAGAAGCACTAGGAATTCGGAAAGACTAAATGCGCTTGCATTGATTTCAAAACTTTGGTTAAAGTAATTAAGAAATGTTTAATTTTTTTTCTTGCAAGATTTCATGAAGTATCAAAATAAATTTTATTTTTATACATGTTTATTTCCTTTTAGACAATTTTAAAACAAAGGTTAAATTTTTTTTGGAACAGTACTCCCACTAATTTTAACCACAAGCTGCCACTGCCTACGTGGGACAATCGAGAAAATTAATTGATCAACAGCCCTGATAGGTACTGGTGTGCTTCTTTTTTATTTTAATTTAAAAAGCTTTCTAAATTTATTGCACTATCCCATACTGACATTAATATGCAACATTGATCATCACTGTATATGCTGTTGATGATCATGAATATTGATGTGCCTTCTGCACAATCTTCATGAGTATTGATGTGCTTCCACATGATCTTAATTTTAAAAATCTAAATTTACTGTACCACTTTGTAATAGTGAGCTGTCACAGTCAACTTGTATGGCTAGTTGACTGTGACTGTCAACCTGTATGGCAGTGGTGACCAACAGTCTTGGAAAGCAGTGATGCATATTGATTTAATTTTAATTGTAAAATATGAAGCTTTTACAAAAGTAGGCCTAATTTTTTCATTAAGTGATATAGATTATCCAAGCTCCACAGAAGATCAGAAGGACTTTTACGCTACACAAGCGAGTAATTAATAATTCCTTAATAGCAAATAAATAAAGTATAAATAATGATAATTCCTCAGAATCAACACCATTAATTTATGTTCAATAAATAATCTAGTACATTCACTCATACTTTGATGATATGAAAATATCCTGGATATTTCTAGATTACTTTAATCCTCTACAGAAACTTAGCAACTCATTGGCAGTTTTGTTAATTAGCAAAAGTTTATTTGGCTGTCTTTGAGGTTGACTGGAATTGTTTTGCTCATAAATGAAAACAATAAGCATTTTATAAGAAACAAATATATTGAGAGAAACCGAAACTCTATATGGCCGATATTTACATTTTCAGTTGGTGAATACTGCTCAGCAAAATGCAAGGGAAATATAGGACATGTAAATTTGTATGTATCCAAACATAACTAGCTTACTCATGCATGAGTTGGCTGTTGCCATGTCTATACTCAATAATTTACCAAAACTATGGTAATTCTACTAAATGTTGAAAGTAGGACATGAATAGTAAAAAAGTACTATATCTGATAATTGGATTACAAATAAGTATTTGTAAGTTTACTTTTGGATCACCTTTCTTCACCTGATGTCCTGACTATCTGTTTCTAGTACTAGATTCACGGATTATTTGTTTACATTTCTTCATTTACACAATCACTATGTGCAATGTAAATATCATGGTCTGTCTCACTATCCCTAACAAATTCTTTGGATTTGTTTTCAACAAGAGAAAATTTATTGGAAAACACTTCTTTAATTTCATTATCATTTTCCACATTCATAATAATGGCATATTACTATTAGCATTGAAATATTAAAATTACTGTGATAATAAAATATATTACAGAGCACTAAATAAATTAGTGATTAACTTACAATATTTGACCAACTACGTAAAGTAAATTACAGTGGTAACTACTAAAAAAAAGTTTTGAAAAATATATAAATTTAACCATAGATATTTTTTATTAAAAAAAGATATAAAATGGAATCAGTAGCAACCACAGACAACACTAAAAATAATGTAAATTCACATCAATAATAAGCAAATTCACAGCAATAATAAGGAAGAGTTCTTAAAACAATGTAAAAATCCACAAGTAGCAAACGAAAATACTGTCATTAAAAGACACATAAATGTATTGATATTTAATAAAGTTATACTGTAAATAAGAAATTAAATGTTACCGGCAACTGTAGTTAACAAGTGATGTAGTTCTTGAGATATCAGAATAAGCAACTTGCATTGTTCCTTTAATAAAATAAAATGACAATGTTTAAAAAAAGTGTTCCAAAATTTAAATATGAATAAAAAAATAAGTCCTTAAGCTAATAAAACTTTACATTATTTACAATGCAAAAGAAGAAAAGTACAATTATTTAACAATAATTAAACACAAAAATAACATTTTAGTTGCATATGTAAAATAGCTTGATATGTACAAATAATTAATCTACCTACTTCAGTAAAATTAAATAAAATTCAGACTAATAAAATTCAAATCAATATCACCTCTCCTTCCTGCAGCCCCCCCCCAAAAATGAGGGAAAAAAGGCATGAAAAACTAGTCTCTGCACTTCACATATTTTAACTGTAAGTCTCATTGGCTTTAATCACTTCCTGATGACTTATTTTCAAACAATTCACTCATTTAAATATGTAATGGGCATTACCTATCAAAGTTCAATTTTGCACAGAAAATGTGTTAAACTCAAATTTGGTTCAATAACTATATGAGATTCGTCACTTCCAGGTCACATGTAACTTAAATGCTTTAAAGAAAAAAAAAAAAAAAAAAAAAAGATTTTTCAAATTTTGGCTTATTGGAAAGCTTATTTTTTTCTACTTGTTTAACAATTACTCTTGTTAATATCTTATAATCTTGTTAATACAATAATTTTTATTCTGAGATTAAATATAAGCAATCAGTCAGGTGCCATTTTATTGATATAAAAGCATGAAGCAAGTGATCAGCTGCCTAAGTATTTATTGTTTAGGCTTCAATTTCTACCAATGCTGCATGATTCCTTTACAACACAATTTTACAGTAGTATTACTATTATTCTTTTGAAATTTGGTAAGCTTCTTTATATGTGCATTATCTTCTAAATGAACTAAAATCTAATAAGCATTTTAATGTCACGAAATTTTATATGTGGAAATGTTCAAAATGTTTTTTATTGAAATACATTTTATAAATTCAAAATTAAATGAAACTCATTCATTTTCTTATATTTTAGTTCCCAACAGATTTCAAATGTTATGGAAACTATATTAAATATAGAATTAAAATATTTAAAGAAAATTTTTAATTGAACGGGCAAGATGGAAACAAGGTTGAATACATAAAAACTTATAAAACAGATTAAATTATAAAAATATATGTGGCACCATAATATAAATATCTTCTGGTTACTAATTCTGAAAGCAGCTGTTATACAACCAGGTGTAAAAAATTGACAATACTTGCGTTTAAAATAAACAAGTTATCCCTATTTTTACAAAAGTAACAGCTCAAAGATTTTAAGATGTATGGTTATTTAAGGGATTAATAGGCAATAAATTCCAATTATTTTATTTATATGTTTGTCATTAAAAATTAATAACTAATATTAAGCATACTGAATCAATTGCATATCATGAAGTAAAGTATATTATATAATTATTTGCATAATTTAATAAAAAATGATTTTATTAAAAAACTTATGAATCATACAAAAAGAAACCTATAGTATAATCCTAAAAAATGTATATAATAATCTTTCTGAATTATGAACATATCATGCTACAATGATGATGCTATAGCAGACCACCATAGATATCTAGATATTAAATTAAACAGCTCCTCAGCTGACCACTAGAGTAGCAGACCTGCAGCATTCAGCAATAAATACATATATTTTGTGTCAACTGGCTCATCTTACATATAACAGGGCTAACGGCACCCATGGCATTTTAGTGAAATCCACACAGCTAGTCAGATAAAAAGCCCATGTTGACTAGGGTACATACTACTGCAACCGATTCCGCAATAGTCACTGATCGCTGAAGTAATAGCAAAATTACAAAGTAGCTTCATGGACTATGATGTTTAACATGATGTGATAGTTCAGCATCAAACAGGCATGAAGAATGAAAAGCAACATGACGGCTGGGTTTGCAAAGCTTTTACAAGAACTTCATCCATTCCTTGGTAGTCCAATGCATGTACATTGTGCTACACTAACACTATATATGATCCAGTCTTCAGCATGAATATTTATGAATTGCTAGTTAGTGTGGATCTAAGTATTAAGAACTGGGTTGACTATATCAAATAGTCTCTTTCAAAACAATCATACAGCATCTCTCAATCTCACTATATTATGACAAATTCAGCACTAAGGTTTGTTTTTAGTCTATGCTGTTTCATAAAATTTTAATAGACTTTAATTGATTCCTAAAGTGGTTTATGAAGACTCCCCCTCAGATGTCTATTCTGATCCGCAAGGGGTCCATGCCAACAAAAGGCATATAAATGAACTAATTATATATTAATAACTACATTTCATATACTTGTGCATGTAGGTACCTATTCACTTGTGGTCACAGTAATTATAATTTGGAAAAACTTGCATATTTGATATCAGCAGCAATGCATAGTGCATTTAAATGAAGTAGCAACACTTGTTTAGACATGTACCAGAGCCTTGCAAGTACTGCACACATTCGTATCAACTATTCTTGTACAGACTTGTTTAAATCATCAATTATAAATACAAGTGTCAAAAAGAAATACTGCATTTGTTTTCTGAATTTTTAGAAGAACAAAGTAAGCAAATATTTTGAAAAATACAAATAGGTAGTTAGGTACATACAAGTTAAAGTGAATCAAAGCCATCATTTTTTTTTAATTTGTGAGAAAAGTAAGTAAATTAAATATGTTTTACAAAATATTCTTTTTTATAGTCCCTCCGACTGTATACAGATGCCAGTCATATTTACAATACTTCATAATTTAAAAAAATTTAAAGTACATGCATCTAAAAATAACAACAAAGGTACTTCTGTGAATTGTTTTGTGGTGAATGAAGGCTCTCTCTTTAAAAACTAATGTACTGTTTCGCATTATGATGAAAATAACCCAATTTCAGAAAGCGAGTAAGTATGTTTTGCTTTTGAGTGGATTAAAACATTTTGTGATGGATATAAGATGGGGTTTTCATTTTTTTAAAACTTTTTTGTATAAGGTAAATTTTGTAGTGAAACTTTACTCAGCGAGTACTTTATAAAAAAAATAACCCTTGTTTAAAAAACACCCTGCATACCTAACTGAAGATTAAAAATAAGGTTTACACAGAGAATAAATTTTGAATTGCTATGTCTTATCATATTTAAATAGCTTCACTTTTGGCCACACACATTTGCTATTAAACATCACTGAATCTAAAAAAAAAATTGCATCCGTTGATTATTTGAAGTTCAGCTTCTTACCATCATTGCTAGACAAACACCTGCCCATGTGTTTTTTATGCAACAAAGCAATGACTCCAGGAAACCATCCAAGCTGCAGGATTATCTGAGAAGGCATTACTCCGGTAAAACAGGAAAGGATTTGAAATATATTTTCAAACATTGAATGGAAAACTTCAGAAGAGACACACTGGATACTATGTTCGCTTTAATGCCAAAAAGAAAACAATGAAGATTTGCAGCATCTTACAGTATCTTACTACTTACAGCAAAACCGGGAAAGCCACATACTATTGGAAAACAGCTAGTTTTGTCAGCAACTGAAAAGGTGTTCTACACAAAGCTACATATGATATACTCAAAAGAATTCCTATGAGCAATAACACAGTCAAACATATTGATGAACTGAGTAATAATGTTGAAAGCATTTGTGTGATTTTCCATTTGTCCATATAACTGGATATGTCATCTTTACCTGGCAATGAAGCACTATTATGGGTATATGTTTATTATGTTAATGACCGAAAAATCCATGAAGAATTGCTCTTCACGAGAACTTTGACACACACAATAAAGGTAAATCAATTCAATATTTTGAAAGATTATTCATTATCATTAAAGAATGATCCCTTTATAAAATATACTGTCAGCAGGAGATGGAGCTATTATGGTTTTATATGCTGTTTGAAAAAATGTATATCCGGTGTTTACAATTTACTGCATCATCTATCAACAAATTTAGTTGCTAAAAATCTGTGTGGCAGATTCCATCAATCTCTTCAGTTTGCCCTAATTGCAGTAAACAAAATTCAGAGCAACACATTGAATTCTAGGTTATTTGCACAGTGCGTAGAGAAAATGCTGAGAATTTTCATTGATTACTCCTTCACAGTGAGGTACACTCACTGTCAAAAGGCTTAGGTTTGACAAGATTTTTTTATTTTTGAGATTCTTTTAGAGTTTTGGGATGCTACAGATCTCATTTTAAAAGAAAATTTAATCAAATGCAAACCAGACATTGCTTAATTTAAATATCACACTGAATAACAATCAAAAACAAAGTCCAACATTAATAATGAGCATAAATTTTTTTAAATTTTTTGCAGTACGCTGATTTTTAATGTTGGACTTTGTTTTTGACAGACATTGCTTGTTTAACAAATTTGTTTACTACGTTTAATGATATACACTTGTAGTTATTAGCTGACAATCTAAATTTAGTATAAGGCAAGTCCATGACCACAGCTTTTCATGCCATAATTAACCTACTGAAGCAAAACATTGGACAGCAAGAATTTTCTCAGTTTCTCAATTTGTCACAGACAAACTGCAGGATGATGATATTTCAGGTTACATCAACAATTAAATGCACTTCACACAAGTTTCTAAGACCAGGTGTCTTTTAACTAACATGCACCATCTAAAAAAAAATTGAAAACCTTTAGTATCACCACTACAAAATACTACTACAGTCAAAAGTCTTTAATCCGGACTCGTCGGGACTTCGGCGATTCCAGATTATCGATTTTTCCGGATTATAGATCATCAGTTTAAATCTGGTAAGATGGCATGCAGAAATTATAAAATTAAAAATATGAAACCGTAATTTATAAAATAATGAGCAATTATGATCTAAAGAATATCAAAATTTACAAAAACAAAAAAAAAAAAAAAAAAAAAAAGCTTAATATTTATTTGTTTACTTTATTAAACATTTCTTTCAACGCGCGCATGCGTAAAGCATACATTACACATAGCTGAAATTAGAAAATTGCAACCAGAAAACTATTTGATTTGTATTCGTGATATTTATAATGACGAGGAATTTGATTTAAATCATACCAAAGACGGAGTACATCGACATGAAATACTACATTTAGTAAGGAATTATAAGCCGAATAAAATAAAAACATCTGCCCTGAAGATAACGATAGTGCTGACAGATCAACTTCCAGTTCATTGCACGGCGCGACGTAATCTGATAAGTATTAAAAAATTTATTTCCTTACATTTTATAACAAAACAGTGCCAATATTTAACATATTTTTTTAATATTAACATATTTAACAGCTTTTCTATCTTCATATGTCATGGAAAAAGGTTTCAGTGTGGCTTGCTGATCTCATCGAAAAAAAAAAAAGAAAAGAAAAAGAATGAAAGGAGAGAGAGAGAAACAGATTGGAAATCACTGAGAGATTTAAGATTAAGCCTGACTAATTTGAAGACAAATATTAAAAATTTGCTATTACAACATCACTTCATCCCTCTTATTAAAAGTACTGATTATTTTGCACACTAATTTTCTGTAAGAATGTTACTAGCCTTGCATGCTGTGCTGTTTTGATTAATAAAGCTATATCAATAACTTCACTTTTTTTTTATTTTAAAATTTTCCACTTTACAGTAAACTCTATCAAAGTGAGTTACTCTGTGTCAGCTATAAAAAATGCATTTGAATTTGATGAATTTTTAAAAATTCAGTATTAATGTAGCATTCTAAGACCAATCAGCCAGTGTAAAATTTCACCTTTCCACTTGTCACATGACATTTTCATGCATTTTGCTTTTACCCGAGTGTTTGGCATGCTTTGGGTGAAATTTTACTCTCAGTTCCACTCTGTTTTGGAATATTTGATTATAACACAAATTGATTGGTTTTGGATTGAAACCTATGAAGGGTGTCTATGAAAAGCAGGAAAAATTGGCAAGCGATCTAAGGAACAAAAAAATTCGGAAACCTCTGACCTTGATGAATGGAACTTTATGAAAACAAATAAAAATAACTTGTTATACAAATTTAGCTAATAAATGCTGTTTAAATACAGGTCTTCATGAGCAAATTAAAAAAGCCATGCCACTCAGATCACAGAACACGCTCATACATTACTTGGGATATCTATGATTGCTATACATCAGTAAAATGAAAAACATAAAACGTAGCCAATATAGAAGATATTAAAACATATATTTACCTCTGGAACTTCACTGCAGAATTTTGAATCTGGAAAAATATTAATATAACTATTAAAATAAATTTAGAAACACATAAAACACATTTCAAAAAAACAAAAATAGGATATATTTCACTGAAAATTCCATATGTTCCCAAATTTCCAGAAAGCATCAGTTAAGTAGCAGTCTGACCTTCTCTACTGTTCATGAGTATTTCTGATAAAGTTCTAACAAAAACTTCCTTTAGAATTCAAAAGTTTAGTTAATATATTTCTGACTTCACTGAAATGAACAAATACACAATGAGATTGTGTTCTGGTTAATAAAAATTACCAAATAAAGTTTTATAAAGTTCTCCTCCCACAGTTTATAAAATTTCTTGGTATTTCCTTATTAAAGTAGCCATTGCATTTAGTTGCCAAAGCTGACAAACTTAATCTCTGAATCTGTAAAGTGCAAATTTCAAATGTTGCCAATGGCTAATGCAATGGTCACTTTCATAAGGAAGTGCCAAACTTTTATTCATGAAAAGAGTATACAAGCATAACTATAATATTTGCAAACTAATGACAATGATAAAATTTTAAAACTTAAACAATATATTATAATTATATTCCTCTAATGAAATTAGTTTATTAAATAAAATGGAAAACAGAGCTTATTTGTTAATTACTTTTAGAAAAAATATTATTCAAATTTTATTTCTGCAGTTCCAGTTTAACTACAAGTTACAATCTTTCCTTTCTTTGTTCTTCATTTTATGCTCACATCTAAATGTTTTTAATAAACATATTAAAAATACCAGCTTTTTAAAATGAGTCCTATATCAAGAACAAAAGCATCCTTTAAAATGCATTCTTGGGCTTGAAAGACACATCTAGACAGTGTTAAGAGAATGTGAATACCCACATTGATCTAATAATTTTCTTGATTTTACACCCTCATATTTGTTCCTAAACAGAAGTCAATAGGAATAGTGTCAAGAGGGTCAACACAAGTAAATGGACAGATTTGCTTAATTTACTATTACTAAGGAAAACTTCTGATGAAAGAACTAATTAACACAGCCATTTCTTTAAATTAGACTTTTTTTTTTTTTTTTTCAGTTCTTGACTTAACTTTAATTGCACCCCAATTCTACATTTTAGCATTATTGAGTTGCAGCAGATCTCTGAATTCAGAATTCTTAGTTTTAATATGTACAGAAAACTTACAAAACATTTTTAGGTTGATGCTGATATTATTTTTGAATTTGTGAAAAACCATGACAGGGTGAAATAGCTTACCTCTCTGTTCTGATTCTCTGATATTCAAGTTAATATCAAAACACTTTATTTTTATGAACCATAACTTCAGTATATATTGCTTTTGCTCTAAATTCCACACTGATATTCCATTTAAGAAATTTATTTAATTTAAAATTATAATTTTATAATTCAGCATGTACAGGAAACTAATAAAACATTTTTAGGTCGAAACTTGTATTACGTTTTTAATATTAGAAAAAATTTGAGGTAGTGAAGCACAATTTATGTTTCTTATTAATGCATCTTTAACATTTATACATTATTTTATTTATGTTCTGACTCATTCTTTGTCATGTTAATATTAAAATATTTTATTTTTATGACACAGTTATATATTTCTTTTGTCCTGACTTATTCATCAACTTTTCTTTCCATAGCTGAAAATGCTTTGCAAAAAGTAATTTCTTTATCCTAATAGCATTTGGAAACCATGCACTATGGTATGAGAAAGAGATAGGTATGAGTTGAAGACAAAGCCAGCACCTGCGAATTGATCTAGGCAAATTAGATATCACTAAGCCTTGCTAACTGCCAAATGTTCACTGCAGATGGAATTCTGAGAACATCCAGGGGATCAGTCTGACAGTCTCTCTGTGAGGCAATGGCACCCTCGATGGAGAGCGAAGACAGCAATGCCAGCGAAATATACAGAAAAAAGGATCACATGGAATGCTTATTATTTTGTATTTCAAAATGGATCATGCAGAATGCACTAAATGGTTTCAGAATTTAAAAAAAATGTTAAGAACAGATTTATGAGATAGATGAAAGATACATTTGTTGTTTTGCACTACCGTGAATAAAAATATCTAAAAAATACAAATTTATTTAATGTTTGATGCCAAATAATGGATGAAAAGAAACCCCAATCATCGATCCCGACACTCCTTCTCCTCTTTCCCTACCACCAACTCTTGAGAAAAAATTGGGTTGTCTTGTATTTTGAGTTCCTCCTCCCTGCAGAGAAACTGTAAGCTTAAAAACATCCATGCCTTCTCTGGGATATGAACCTGGGCTCTTCAGTATGGTAGTTAGCATCACTAACCACTATCCTGTCTAAATGGCATGAAAGGGAGATATGCGCAGGTAAAACGCATGCTGAACACCAAAAACTCACACAGGATTGTACAGGTATACAAAAATGGATGCAGTTCACCCACTTTGTAAGGATCTTAAGTTTTACTAACGTTTATTTTATTTTAAATCTTTACTATCACTTCTTATTTTCTACTTCCGGCCAGAATTATAAGCGTTAATGTATTTATGCAAAGTTTGTCTGGCGAACGCCAAGTACTTAAGTTGTGGCTTTTTGCCAAGCGAGAGAGAGGAAGCAGTTAGTCGAAGCAGGTCGCTTACCTTAGAAGTTTTACTCAGTTGCTGGTTGCCTTCCAGGCCAGAGGTTTAATCCTCTTGATAATTTTAAACGTATTGTAGTGTTCACAGTTCTCTGTACTACATACGGCTTCCTGTTAATATAAGGCCAATCTTCCACGTTTATTATTTCAAAGTGAAGAGTTTAGTTTTACTTTTATATTTTTATGTTTAGACCACAAGTAGTGGGTCTTTGTATTCCGAAGTACGGAAGTTATTGTAAATAGAGAAAAATAAAGGGTTTTGTATACCCTTCTTGTGTATCCTGTCTACTTCCCACAGTTATTGAACATAGCTTTAGTAAGCTCTCTGTTCCGAGTCAGGTCCTTGCATGTTCCCGAAGAAAGTAAGACGGAACATTGAACCTGATAACTTGACAAGTCAAAGATTTCCCATACAATCAAACTGGTTGTACCAATATAGTCTCACCACACTAACTGTGCAAATCCAGCCCAATTTTGAGGAAGAATACAAAGATAAGGAAGTCCAAGGATCTCCCACTTTTCTTCTCCTACCACCAATTTCTCGAAAGGACTTTCAGCTCCCCATGTATTTCAAATGCCTTTTTGCCATACAGGCACTATTACTTAAAAATATCTTCGCCTTCAATAGGATTCGAACCCAGGTCTATCGATACAGCAGTCAGTTCAACAACCACTATACCAGCTAGGAGGCATGAAAGGGAGATAGCAAGACACCATTTGGAATCCACCTAAAAAGTTAGAATAGACAATAAAGTCTGTTGATTTGATTTATTTTTATGTCTGTAAACTGTTTTAATAAGATTGTTGTTTGTGCTTTGCTTCAGACTCAAAATCTAACAGCACTTGCATGACGCTTAAGAATTTTTTCCCCTTTAAGGCTAATTAAAATCTATATATTTCTTAAAATCTTTCCGCAAAAAAGCATTACTAAATAAAAATAACTAAAAATCTGAAATAAAGATGTGATTATTCCTCTTGTATATTAAATATTACACAACTTGAATTTTCAGTATTTTAAAAATGAAATACAGTCAAAAGTCGTTAATTCGGACACCCATAATCTGGAATGATCTATAATCCGGACCTCACAGCTAAAAACTTTCTGTGCATGCGCCGCGTTGACACATGCGCATAGGCGTTTACGCGTAAGACCTTTACGCGCACGCGCATATGCATGTGCGCAAGTGCAGAATACGTTTTCGCGTGCGCGTTTAATGTATAACGGACGGTGCAAGCTAAAATTATATAATTATCTATTTTCAGTTAATGTTGATGATTGCGTTGTTCCTTAATCTTCGAATTGGATGCGGCTTATTATTTTTTGTAGACTGTAAGAGCAATTTTATAAAACTAAACTTGAACTTTCGATTATGTCAATTTCCGATTCTGGAGCTCCCAAAGGATCTACAAAACGAAAGTATGTCTCGATGTCCGTCAAACAAAAAGTGGAATTGCTGCAAAAAATGGATAAAGACATGAAGAAGGTGACAGAGAGGTTAGTGAAAACGAAAAAATTTCGATTGACAAGTTAGTCGGTATTCTTGACACAGCAATTTACGGGACTTGTAACTGAACAAGAAATCATGTCTGTTTATAGAATTAAAGAGAAAGTATTATCACATAAAACGAAACAACTTACAGTGAAAGAAATGTATAATAAAATAAACAAATAAATATTAAGCTTCTTTTTTTGTAAATTTTGATACCCTTTTAGATCATAATTGTTCTTTATTTCATAAATTACGGTTTCATATTTTTAATTTTAGAATTTGTGCATGCCATCTTACGAGATTTAAACTGATGATCTATAATCCGGAAAAATCGATAATCCGGAATCGCCGAAGTCCCGACGAGTCCGGATTAACGACTTTTGACTGTATTTAACTTTACAAGTACAGACAAACTAAAAGAAGTAAAATAAAATTAAATTTGTACAATGCCAGTAAAATAACAGCAATATAGAAATAACATTAAAATTCTATGGTTAAACTGTTATGTTAGAGTATAAAACTATTGTCTGTGGTGTATCAATATTGTTTATATATCAGGATCCAATTCAGCTACTACTAATATCACACAGATTACAATTTGTATCATATAAAGAAATTAATAATGGTGCAAATTTCCCTCTGCATCACTCAAGGGGGAATATATATAGATAGATAACAATATCTTGAGAAAATAGCCACAAAGTTTGAGATTTGTGTTTGAAAATTAAATGAATTTATGAAGTACTACATAGACTTATAAATACTATCTTAAAAATAAAACATGAGAAGGGTTAAAAATTATATATTTAAAGTTCAAACCAAATCTAACATTAAAGAGATTTTATACAAAAAAAAAAAAAAAATCATTCATTTTGAAAGAAACTATCCATAAGCAGT